CGCCCCCATCGCCAGACCGTCGGGGGCCCTTGGTCTACTGTACGCGGGCCCCAAAGTGCCATCGAGGGATGCCAGCAGCAGCGAAGGCAGTCACGGCCGTGGGCAGGTGGCCTCCGGGAGCCTTGCAGGGACTGGCACCTCGTTTCTCACAATGACCCCCCAGACAAGTCCTGCGTGGGCCAGAGTCAGCAAAACGGTGAGACCCGGATGCAGACAGGGAGCAAGGTGCTCTTCTGCAAATGCGGGCGCCAGTCCTTGCGCACGGGGACCCCCTCTCGGTCTGCCTCACCCCGCTCTGTTGACCAGCAGCGGTGGAACAATGGAACTAAGGTAAAAGTTTACTTGGTGCAGAAACGCCTGGGAATCCATGCCTAGTTTTCCGTAAGACACTCTTCAGAGAACTTTCTGAAGACCCCCGTCCCTCCTGCCTCTGTGCATCCCAGCCCTCTCCCCTCGTGTCTGTGCCGTGTCCCACACAGAGGAATGAAAGGCAGGGCCCTGCCCAAGGGCCGGGAACTGAGACTCAGGGCACCATCTGGCTGACCAAGAGCGTGGCCTGGGCTGGCTCTGTGGCCTAGCGTGTAAGGGAGCCAATTCCACACGCTGACCATGGTTCGAATCCCAGCCCTGGTGGCTTGAAAAACACACCAGGTGTGGGTGACTGCGTGCCTCAAATCCCAAAAGGACGGAGAGAGGGAGAAGAAGGGATTGTGGGGACCACAGCCCACTGAGGGGTCTTCCTCCCTCGCCTCTCCATCTGCCGCTCTCTGGGGAGGGCAGGCTTCCTCTGGAAAATTTAAAAAAGAAGAAAAAGAAAGAGACATTAAACCCTCATTCCAGAAAGGTCCTGCCCCACACCCCGGAGGATAGAGTGTCACACAGAGGCTGGAGTTTGGACACACAGGTCCCCCAGGCTGTGAGCACCTCACGCCTAAGCCCAGAGTCTCCCTAAGAGCCCAGGAGCTTCCAGGGAACTGAGCCCGGAGTCCTGCAGGGGCCGCCTGAGAGGCCGTGGAGACTCCCAAGCCCCCGGCACGTCTGGGCACCCGT